AGAAGATCTGTGTCCAGTTTTTGTAACTAAGATGCAGATTAGAGTTTTGCTTCCCTGTTCAATGGTCTGTGACGGGTCAGTTGGCATTTCCGAATAAATAATTCCGCAGCGAAGGCCTTCTTCCTTTCACAAGTTGCTCAGAAGAGCGAATAATTCACACGGTGAGTGAACATTCCTTCTGGGCAATCATCACTCGAGGGGCCAATCAACGCGTGACCTTGTGATTTGGATTCCGTGATTGGAGGATGTGTTGAAATATCAGTGAATCACGTTGATGATCAGCCAATTGTGGCAGAGCGTTTTATTAGGCCTCAACTACCAGCTTGGAAGTTGCGGCATCGGATCTCGCTGGAGATTCGTAAGTTGCTCACTACTTATGATTTCTACTAGGGATGGAATAGCCGCTTATTAGCCGTTCAGTACAGACTGGCTTTCCTTTCACTTAGACTACTTCCTGACTAGTTGGAAGAGGCTTGGAACCGATCGAAAAGTCATCTTTCCAGAAAAGTTTCTTGACTGGTCCTGCTTCTGCCTCAATACCTTATCGGCCTTGTAATCCAGCCAATTGGCCTGACAAATTTTTTTTTGTTAAAACGGAGCGTTCCTCAGCAATAAATCTACCGATTGTTTTCCAAACTTTCCTGAAACGGTTCTCCCCGATTACTTTTATACAGCTCATTGTGGTTCGGTGTTCTGCGTCGGTTGGTGCGATAAAATTTAAACACCGTGATCACTTCTCTTCCTATAGCTTATGCTTCGCTTCTGCTCTTTCAGAAAACGAACGTCTGGCGTGGGTGCCAGTACCTCGTTATCGATAAATGAACTCTGCTCAGACCTCCAGATCCGATGGGGTGTTCGAGCTACCCGGATTTGTAGCACTGTCCATGATGTGGCTCTTGTTCTCGCCTCTTACCACCGTTCCATAGGCGAGCGACCTTTTAAGTAAGTTGTCATTTATTTGGAGGGGAGGGCGAGATGGCCCAAGTGGTTAGAGCGCAAATTTACTGACCAGAAGGTCCATGGTTCGAACCCGACCTCCGCCTCTCGACTTCCCCTGTCTAGGCTTAGGCAACCTTGCAGTATTCCAGCCTTCGTGCAACCTTCGAGTGGCGTGGCAGTTATGCACTGAAGGGGTGCTACAGCTGAAGGATCTCGTCTATTTGGACAGCCAAAAGAGCCTCCTATCGTAGCTGTTTATACCGTGGAATTTTGTATCCTTGACTCTGTTGTCCGAGTACCCCACCTCGTTTCCACGTTCAAATTCCACTATAATCCAAGCAGCTTAGTATGTAGTACACTAGAAATCATATAACATCTGGTGCTTACTTTCGTTCAACTAATTGACTACCATTCTTCAGATGGAAACTGTAAGCACTTTGTCACATGAGCGAGGTCCGTAAGGTCCCGTAAGCTAAGCTTTCTGTTCCTTCCCTACATTGTCTTTGCATAGGTGAACGTTCTGTTTCTTCCACCTATTACTGTCCCATTGAACCAGATGTAGTAATGGCATCAACTGCCTGTTCGCAATTTCGGCATAGTTACCACCAAATCATTGTTTTGATTCGGTATACGACCTTGTTTGTCGGAGCCTTGTTATAGCTCCAGTCACCGAAGGGTTAATCACTTCACCAGAACAGTTTGAATAACTGATAGCTCGGCTTCTTGGCACGCTGTTTTTTTTAATCCAAGCCTCAATAACGATAGTGAACACCTGTCGTTTGTGCTTAACGCTAGCTTTTCTTAGTTCTGCGGGATTCCGGTACCTTCAATATCGTTGTATTACTCAGTTCGATATTCTCTCATCCCCTAGAACAAACAACTTGGTGGAAGTTTCGAAGTTCTTGTCAACAGTTTGTTTTAATTTTAAGAGAAATCTTATCCCAAAAGAAGTAGTGAAATTTCTGTGGCATCGGCCTTGTGCATATGCATTTGTAAATTTCACTTCGATTTGATTGGAAGTCCAGATATCCTTGTGCACCCGTTACACAGTGGGGACCCGCACAACAGTCATCACCATCGTTACGGATGCAAACTTGCGCCACCTGGCCAAAACTGAGTAAGAACTGCAAAACGAGATGCCTTGTGACAGTTGTGTTGAGAAGGAACACGGTTAATATCAAGATATCGTACTTTACATCGTCCTATGCCAGAGCTTCATCACTTTCTGTCAGGAAGGTCAGATTCCTGAAAGTAGGAACACGGTTAATATCAAGATCAACATCATCCTATGCCAGAGCTTCATCACTTTCTATCAGGAAGGTCAGATTCCTGAAAGTAGCCTCAGAACACCCGGAACCTACTTAGACCCTAAAACTCTACCAAAATCTTAATAGGAATGCCAGCAAGCATCCAGGCGAGTCAATCATTCAATCGATTCAGCAAAAGCCGATGCGTGTTCATGCATGCCACAGACGCACGACCGAATGTGATCAGCGTTCAGGCATTTCATAGAGGCACGACCGATGTTGATGGATGTTGACTAACGCCTATCAGACATCCTGGATCAATGTCAGAAAGTCTCCTTCAAATAGCACGGGAGCGTTGTAACTTTTGCACTCGCTTGTTTGGAATAAAGCTGTTGTGTACCCTTCTGACACCAGACACTGAAGTGGGAATAGCAGTCAGATGGAACACTTTCAATCTGTGTTTAAACTTGGATTGGTTCCGATGGACTTTGTTGTGGGCTTGAGACAGCCCAGTGATTAAGGCGGACTTACTGACCAGAAGGTCCGCGGTACCTCGATTGCTCTCGTCTAGGCTTGGGAACCTGATGGTACCTCAGCCTTTACGCCTCCTAAGGGGGGGGGGCTCGGTAACTATGTACCGAAAGAGTGTTACAGCTGAATGATTGCTCTTATCGTCCACGCCGAGTCAAATCTAATCGCACTACCTCTCCCCTTCGTAGGGGTGTGCTGGCTTCCTCTCTTGCCGTCAGTCGTATCTATTTAAAGCTGTGAATTTGTTTCGTCCTCATGATCACAGCATCCCGATCATAAGAGAGCAATCAAGAAAGCCTTCAGTATGTTTATCTCCCAAGCTAAATTTATCCTTGTAGACTGTCACGAAAGCCAGCGTGATTGAATACTTTAGTCGACTTCTAAACGGGAACCATGAACAACTGTTTTTTCGCATGCTGGAAAATCTTGTTTGACGGATTGTCGTGCTTTCTGTGGAACGAGGATCTGCTGGCTTCTGCAGTGACGTTTCCTATATGTTTGATCTGTACCAGGAGCTCGAAAACGCGGTCCCATAGCTGCAAAATGGACATGAGACTGTGATCAATCGCACACAAATCGTCACCGGATTTATCGATAGAAATGACCTATGCCGTTGAGACATCCTGAGTAGGGGATCAGACTAGTTTCCTGATTTTGTTTTTTGGAGATGGAGTGAGGCAGTGAATCATGAAGCGCATTTCAATCTGCCGATGATTCACATGACCAATTAATGTCGCTCAGAGTGAACCTTGCCCTTCTGATAACTGTTCGCGTAGAAATTACTCATCCAAAAATAGTGCAGTGACAGGACCCGTCCAGAACATGGTGCGTGCGGCCATGATAGCCCAGTGCCAGTGCTGTATCCAACGTTGTGGTTCAGCTGCTACTGCTGGCTGGAATCCGGTTTCGGGACACCGGGAAAGCACACCACAACACTCCAGGTTTACAGATACAAATCACACCTCCAACTAGCTCATTGTGGTCAATAGTATGCCCCATTCCGTTGATTTTTTAAACCGCACCTATTTTTCTTTCGATTTGTCTCTCCGAAGGGAGGGTCGCCTGTCGCGAGATGAAGGTTTGACTTTTCTCCCAGACACCGTCCGCAAAGGGCTTGCCGGTTGCGCTTCCAGAGGTCGAGGTGCTGGACCAGCACCCAACATATCTGGAGATGATCCTGACGGAACCGATTCCCTGGCCGTGCATAGCTGGGCTAATCGTCTCTGGCTTGCACAGCTGGGTCAGTGGCGAGGACTTACCGGTGAGGTGGCTCATGCCATTGCACAGGTTTATCCCACGGCGTTCAGTTTCTTTCAAGCCTGTCAGAAGGACCTCGAAACCGGTGAGTTTGTGTGGAAATCGGTTTGCTTTATTCTTCATTAACAATTCAACTTGCTCTTATCTCTTATACGGGTGGTATCTAGTGTCCATATGGCCTTCTGCCTGTGGTATTCACGGAGGATTTCACGGTTAGAAGTTCATAGTGTAAAAAGAATATGGCTTAATAGTGTCCGAATGAATTTGCAAGACCCAGGGAAGATTGACTCACAGCTTAACGAGGATTTAAAATTCACCAGTAAAAGCTACGCAAAGCTTGTTCTGTACCCAACCAGTTGTACTTACCGAATGCCCCAACATCACCTAGCCCCCTCCAGCGAACCGTTGTTTACGCCGTCAAATCACTACATACGTGTTGAGTTCTCCAAAATCTTTCGAATATATTCGTTTCAGTCCCAGGGAATCTGACTGTATTAATATCCTATTACAAACAGCACTTTTCACCAACTTTCGCGTGCTCAAATACACTCGCTCGTGATTAGATTCTGTGTAATCTCACATCCTTCTGTTTTCGAAAAATTGCTCTATTTCTCGTCTAAACTACGTCAGTCCGGAGTTTTCCGTTCCTTCATGGTCCTTCCTGAGGTCGACCCTATTCCGCTTGATTGTGCCGTGGGTGGCTGTCATACCTTATCTCCCCGCCCACAATCTGTGGTTTCCCTTTCTGTATTTCAGACAGCTGGCGGGTGTTGCTATCTTACTAATGCCTCTGTGCCGGTCTTTCACTCCGGGCACGTTTTGATTTCTGCATGAACTAGAGGATTCGGTAACAAGGCACCCACTATTTTGGACAGTGGTGTGCGCATTCTGAAACAGAATATTATTAGTGACAGACTCTGTCCATATAGGCGCCATGTCTGGTGTGGACAGCTGATCATCATTCGAAACTCAGTAGCAGCACTCTCGACCCTGTAGAACTCACCGCGCTGGTGAGCAATTCACGCACCATGAGCCGTGGTGGTTAGATTGAGCAAATAGGATTACCCGGACCGATTGTTATGTTCTCAGTTCATGAGTGAGGCTCCAGAGAATGAATGATATTCCGACAAACGATACGCAACCGAACATTGGGCACCAGCAAGTGAGCAACTATTCATCGTTGACTTTTGGAGCAGACTGGTGGTCGATACTTTTGACTGTCTGAATTCTTCTTGCCAGTTTGTCTGTAATAATAATAATAATAATCGTCTGCCCTCCCGGTGCCTACCTGCCATGCCGCACGAAGAAGGCACGAGGGCTAGGATACTGCCAGGTTCCCCAAGCCTAGACAGGGAGAGAGCCAAGAGCAGAGGTCGGGTTCAAACCACGGACCTTCCGATCAGTAAATTCGCCTGAGTGCATATTACACTCACCAAAAAGCAGTCGTTTAGTTGTAGCATTCTGTCAGTACTTAGCTGCCATGCTGCCCTAAGGGAGCACGTGGGCTGGGTTGTCCAAGCCTAGGCAGGGTTTGGGTTTGAACCAAATTTGCGCCTTAAATACCGAACACTCAATCCGGGTGTCCACTTTCGTTGTTTTCCTTGAGTAGTATGGTGCACTCAGCAGCCTTTCCGCAACCCTAATGATGTCCGTGACCGATCATTGACTTCGAATCGCCACTGTCTAATACCCACCGAGTTTGTACTTTCATCGGACTTTGCATACACCCTTTTGAGGCCTATGATTGTGAGGGGACGTTTCACAACCCCAAGCTGCTTCACGAATGTTGTCTCCAGATTTGTCGGTAAAACTCGCGGAATGTAGTCACGCCTGGGAGATACAGAAATGATCCACTCCAATGAACGTACTGAATGCCTTGTCTACTTTCGACTAGAAGCGCGCTGGTGTTTACTTTACCTTGTAATTTTCCGACTTACCTCGAGAGCCTTAGTATCAGTATGACGCCGCGTGGCATCCATTGATGTGCTTACAGGGCTTCGGCTTTATCCCCCCCCCCAACAGGTATGCCTGGGCTGAATAGATATGTCCCTGTAACTTTGGAATGCGTCTTTATTACTGGTGATTCTGAGTTAGCTTCATTCAAACTCCTCACCTCTCCTCCTACACTACACAGTTGACGCCACTAACTCAGACGGCAGTCAAATCAGTGGGAAACGTCGCCACCCACTGGAAGCTAACCTAGCCGAACTGGAGATTCGAAGAGGTGCCGGTATCCTGTCCTCTCGGCGTCGGCTTGGACCAGAGTTCGCCCGGCGACTCGTCACCCACTTCACTTCTGAAGATCCCAGCGAGGTTATTGGATGATTGCATTTTCTGTCGGTCTTTCGCACTTCTGTTTATCCAACTGAGTGTACAACCAGATTGATTTGTTCCATCACTCACCCCCCCCCCCCGTTAAACTCGCATTTTCCAGATGTACCAAAGCTTAGTTTACTATTTCCATTTGAACTTGGCTTTTTAAATTTCCCTTGGTCACATGTGGTAAAAATCGTGTTTAGGTTGCTCTTACACATGGGATTCACTCAACATAAACGTACTGCTGAGACGGTTTTTCTGGATTCTTAATGGTGAAATACACTGAGAACAGGATTCCTGATTTCCTACTTTGAGAGACTTTTTGTTAAGGTTTGGTTTTGTGTGACTCGTCGGAAAGCTGTTGCATCACCCAGACAATCGTTTCGCGACTTTTCCGTCCGTATTTGTGTGATTCTAAATAGGTCCTCTCAGGGACTTTTTAGAGATGAAATAAATTGATCATTCGCCTTTAGTATGATTGACAAACAACGGTATATGGTGACACTCCGGTAAGCTTCGCCAATGAGAGACAGTTTTTTGACAGTTGGACTGCACCGAGAAACGTCACTAGAATCACGAGGCAGCAATCAAACACTTCTCTGTGTGTAGTCCTCAGATAGATTACAGTCCGGTGAAGAGCAACGAGTCCTCTTACTGCGAGGGTAGAGTCATGATGTTCGGTGCGACAAAAGCGTGAGTACAGTAGGACCGGCTTGCCCATATGTGGGGAGACAACAATGCTGGCTCTTTCCGAGGAACAACCATTCAGAATAGCTCGGCTTTAGAAACCGAATAATCCTGTCGTCCGACAGTTCACCGTGGCCACCGGCACACTATCCAGCCCGGTTTAGATACTTTATAAAATCAGGAATCCCGGTGCTGCTCAAAAGGTACATGCCATAAAAAAAGAAAGGGAGTGGAACCAAGCACCGGGATGACAGAATCCCTTCAGGTTTACAACAAACTGAGAATCAGGCCGTCAGTGGCTTGAGAATCTGCCTATTGCAACCCTGGTCGGTAATCCGCCTAAGTCAATCCCCCATTGTCATAGGGGTCAAACTTTGAATTCGAACCTTCTAGTTTAGGCACCCAAAATACGCCCCTATTTTCAAGCTGAGCATTCAAAAGCTCTACTACCCCGGTCCCGACGTGGACTGTAGAGAGAAGGAGGACATGTTTTATATGAATTGGGACTTAGGACTAGTTGACGATTGTCCTGGATAGGAAATTACCTGAAAGACTAACAGTTCGTGTCGCAGGATAACTCAAACGCTACAACAGGGTAGACCCTGCCGCACTTAGTGAGACCATATCTGTTTAGCAAAAAAAACCTACTGGCATAGGTTATACGTCCGACTGAAGTGGATCAACACAAGAAAACCAGTGTCAGATCCGAACTTGCAGATCACATGAACCACAGAATAATCAGTCAACCAAACTGCAGCAACGCGGGAATGATAGGCATCCAATTCTGGCTGTCGAAGACAAGGTTTGCCTTATTTATCAGCGTCTGTCGCCCTACAGTTTCACACTCAGAAGAAAACGAATTCTATGGTCAACTGTCGGAGCTGGTTAGTTCTGCTCCTCCAACCGACTCCCTCCTGTTGAGCGATTTCACTGCGTGGATCGACTAGGATTGACAAAGCTGAAAGAAGATACTGGATCCATGTGGAATCGGATCAGTGAACGTAAATGGCGAAGAGCTACTAACAATGTGCGCAACATCTGAACTCAGTAACAAGCAGGTGATTCAATCTGGGCCGACAGTGCCCACGACGTAGACACGGATACCTAGTGGAATTTTGACGAAGTTCTAACGTAAAGGCTGGTGAGGGACCAAGCACACCTGAGTACAGCTGCATACCCAAGCAACTGTTGTGGATACAGTTGGGCCAAAGTAAGAACGTAGGCGGGTTGATTTGATGAGAACGGTTCGTCGATATCCGTCCCGGTTCAAGGAGAGAATTCGGCGTTTGCCGAAACGCTCAGCATCCGACAAGCACAGGCCCAAAACCCGCTCAGACGCACCAAGACCAGATTTCTCAGATAGCTGCACTGATGGACCGAACGAACTGCAGAGCTTCGGTTCTTCGTGAATCGCCCTTTTCACAAAGAATCCCTTAGCGAACCTAACCGAGAAAAATATGTGGATATAAAGTCCGATAGCTTTAGCTGACAGGATACAAACAGGATGGCGAAAAACACAATTGATTAGAAGTGTTGCTTTTCAACGCTAATCAATCAGCCACGAGATGTTGATTTTATCTGTGCAGCTCAAGTGTACCAGTATTAAGTGCAAGCCAAAGCACTTCACAACAGGATAAATACACGAACTGCAAAAGCCAGCATGGTATTTGGGCCGCCTTAGAAACGCATAAATACCGAGATTGTGGTTTATCGAACTGTTATGCCGTACAACTGAGACTCGGTCGCTGCACGACCGGTACGTTCGAGTTTTTGGCAGATTCCACTTGCACAGTTTGTGCAAAATCCTTGGGGTCAAATTGAACTAACAGGTTCCCGAACAGGGAAGTTCTTCAAAGGGCAAACGCTTTGGAGTTAGATCCAGTCTGATGGGAAAGCAGCCCCATTGGTTAAGCCTTTTGAAATGAATGGACAAAACTGTTACCCCGACCAGCTGAATAACGGAGTTCCGCTATTGGGACAGCTCTCAGGCAAGCTTGAAAAACTGAGACTCCCATTTTGAATCATCGGAGACGTTAGCTTTTGACAGAACGGCATGGAAAGCGGCCAGTCAAGTTGTGAGAATACTTGAGATACGGCGGGTTGCGGGGCTGGAAAGGAAACTAGTCTTTCAACGGGGTTGAATATTTTCATGCCTCCCCGGTCATGTGGACTTGAGCAATACGCGGACGCATGTACCTTAACAAGAATGGCTTTGCGGGCCGCTAACATATTCGCCGGCCTACCTCATAAACAGAACCTAGAACCCAGGTAAATTCATTTTCATTTTCTGATGAGTTCTCGCCCGACATTGTCATCCTGAAGATGACAGTATTTTCATACACGAGCTTTGTGAAATGCTTCCTGGTTGTTCGTCATGACGGTGTATTAGTGGACGGCTCCCGATGTTTTACTGGACAATCTGTGGTGTTACGCTGAAGCCTAGATGAATCGATGGATGACGTCGGTTCGTCGATGGTAAGCAGGTAGCTGGTACTCGCTCGCAAACGACACCACATTCGACTCAGCGCAAACCGTTTGTGGTTTCCTGTTGTCTGCACGCCTTCAGTGGTTTGGACACTGTTGAGGAGTAAATTCAATCCAGATTCCAGTCGTTCTCGTGTACTGTAAAATATCTTAGGACTGCACATCAAAGCAGCACTTATTTTCATCTCATCCTCGTGAATGAGAATTTTACATTTGAGCCTGAATAGGAATGAATTATTACCTGTGGACAGAAAATAGCTATTGCTATTCCTCAACACTTGAAGGTGAGCATTACACTTTTATGTGATGAATTGTCACGATGCTTCAACGAATTTAATGGAAAACTGGGTTTGGCGTCAGAAGGAATGAAACCAAGATTGCTCCTGGAACTCGCATGCCACTGATGACGAATTTCGCGTTGCACACTATCTGAGGCGCAGCCGACGAAAACCCTGACTTCTGTCTCAGTAAGCATCAAACCAAAATCAATGAACTGACTTTTAGTGAAGTATAATGTCCACGTGAAGTGGTGAGCGTCAACAGTTCCAGTCGTCTCATCAACGTAAACATGAAATTTGAGTAGTCGGAGTTACGTACGTAAGCATCTGCAACTCTCGCTACTCACAGAATGTGAGTAGCCAATGGTAAAAAGCTATTGGAATGTTTGAGGAACTGAGTGTGTTGTGGTGCTCAACTTCCAGTTACAAAACATTCTGCTCATGTCTGCAACTAAATTGTACAGCTCATCGCACAACTCAACTGCCATCATTACTGTCTGATGTACGACTTTTCTCTTATAGAAACTGCATCGCTTTGAAGTGTGCGAGGTAAAAAAACGCAAATAGACCGATCGTAAAACAGTGACGTTGGCCTTCCGTTACTTATAGGTTGCGTCCTCCACAATCCGTTTGCTCCGGTGTGTCCAATTCTGTTGTCACTTGGTACAGCTAACAGCTTTCCCTGGTTGCCAAGTATCCTTACCTGTGCCGAGTCTTGTGTGTCACTAGTGAGAACAATTATGGGCACTTCGACGAATATTCGCTAACTGGAGGCTACTGCTTCTCCACCCACTCATGAATAACCGTTCAGCATCTTACATTGCGTTCCCGTTAAATCACGTGGTTTGTAATGACGCATCAATGTTCAATCGTTCATCCTAAACTGTTTATGATATCCAGAGGTTATCATATTACAGCACCCGTTTTGGTTTTATCGGATGTGCCAGTGACCGTGGCATTGTAAACTGATTGCAGTGTTGATAGTGGCAATAGAATCGGGGGGTTTTAATGTAGATTTTGTCCTGTAGATGAAACCGATCCATGCTGAAAAGCTGAGAAGCACGGTACAGCTCCTACTGGGATTTGTCAATAGTTCATATCTCACGAAACCCCAGAAGGTCTGAGACCTCCAACTTCGCGAGTGGTGGCTTGAACAACTGATCGTTCGGCCAACGGCAGTTGATTATCAGTGTGGTTCACTCACATTCAGACGGGATATGACGCCACTCATCTTTCCATCACAGTATCCATGTCACGTACTGACTGGCCTCTCGAGTGACAGCTCTTCAGGTGGAATAGTGCTCAATAGGGTGAAATGTGACTACTTAGGTTTCGTCAAAACAAGAGTGACTTCCCCGCGATCGAGTGCTTTCTGTCTGGAGGAGAGTTTTTCGGAAACAAATTCTGATCTGTTTTAATGGAAGGTTTTTTTTTCAGGGACTGTGAAAAAGGATCCCCACCAGTGGTTGATGGAAAGATGATTGTACTTGGCCTTGCCCATGCTTCGAAATAGGTGATAATCCGAATATCCGCTTCGAATTCGGAAAATCGAGTCATACACTTTTGTCCTGGCGAAGTTATTCTAATGACTACATACCAGACGGGACACTGAACTCGAGCTTCGGTCTCATTAGGGCCCATCAGCAGTGCATATTCTTGGCAGTACCGCGGTTTGAACTCGTGGATATGCAAGCTGAGCGTGTTATCAGCACTCCACCAGCGCACGCTTGCCTCGTATGTCAAATGAGTTGTAATTAAACGGAAACTCGAGTCCTGCGCTTCCTCTACATCCTTGATGTAGATTCGTCAGGATACTTGCGCTGGGACAGGAAAAGGACTGTTCAAACGAGAGTGGGGTGAGCGTGAATTTACTAATACTGGAACCATCTTCAAATTAAGCATCATGTA